TTACCTGTTGAAACTGGTCTCCAAATGTTTAGAAAATAAACTTTAAAAGATTGTATGCAAAATTCACACTCTAATGGAAAATAGTATTTTAGGAGATGAAAAAAACATTTTGTTCTATCTAATAGTCACCAGTGAATCCAAAATGGAGGAATGTTAACAAAACCTAGGAGTCGTAATCTTAGCGATTGTATTAAATATTGAACACAATGGGAAAAGTTAGTTTAAGGAAGAGTGTCAGATATGAATTGGAGTTGATAAGATTATTGTTGGAAATAGTCAACATGATTTCCTGTCAACAAGGTTCCTTGCTGACAAGTGCTAAATAGCATGAAACCCGGGTCCAGGATTTCTTGTCGACTACCTTCAACCACTATCTTTAAAAAAAGGATGATTTGATCATTCTTTGTTAATCAATACTTTGCTTTCATTCTTACTTACTTACGCCTGGAGCTCCTTTTGGTACTACTGGTGGTCACAAACCTGGATAGAAGAGGAGGATTGATTATGGGGTTAGCGACTCTACCTCGTAGAAAACTAACCACCTAAAACAGTATTAACCTGAGAAAAAAATAATTCAAACCATCTAAACTCTACCCTGAAAGTTAGAAAGTCTTGATTTAGAAGAATTATGGCACCTCATAAAGAAAGCCTAGTTCTTTCGAAAGCTCCTTCTAACAACCATAGCAACCATTCATTTAAGTACATGAAATCCTCGTTGTTAATCAATATTATTATTAATTAATGTACCTGATTATAAATTCACTTGGTATTGTTTGGCTTGTATCTTCCCATTGAGTTTTAAGACCTCAATTTATCAGTCTCTTATTGGCATATGTGCATACTGTGCTTATGCCTTGATATTGCCTTAATTCACAAGCTTTATAGTGGTTAGCATTGGAATCTAGTTTGAAGCGCATCATTTCGTCCTATTTGGAACTCGTCAGTTAGATGTACCTACATCTTAGAGTTGATCTTCACTCTGAGACTCGAACCCAGTAACTGTTTGCTTCTAACACTATCTCGTTATCCACTTAGCTATTGAGTCTTGATAACCACTCGCTTTTGCTAACGAGTCCCAAATAGGACGAAACGCTCGTCCTGGATTCCACTGCTAGCCACTAACCATCATTGCTTAGAAGTACCTGATTATAGTTATGAATTCAAGAAATATTCACACATTTCCAGAGATATATACTTACATATATATCTATATGAACATGCGAACAAAGCTTATGTATATTAACGGAATTTGTTTTAGTACAGAAAAGATAGTATTCTAAGTACAAATGAATATAGTGTGTACATTTTAGTAAAAAAAGAAAGAAAAGAACTAAGGTATGTATGGAATAGATTTGTATAAATTATGAATTGACAAGAACTTGTCTTTTGTTATAATAATAATAATAAGGTTTCTCTTCAGTTCATTCTTTTTTGTTGAGAGACATTGGTTATTCTATAAATAAATCACCTACCATCTTTTCTTTCGTTCTCCCTCTCTTTCTCTCACTCTCTCTCACTCTTTCCCCCTGTCTCTCTCTCTCTCTCAGACACACACTCACCCTCTCGCTTTCTCTCTTTTTATGTATGTGTTTTGTTTGCACAGTATTGTTACTCGTAGTATTAAAATTTGGCATTTATATTAAAATGAAAAGAGATAAATTGTTTTCAGTAAGAAGGAATTCGTTTTCGGTATTCTGTTCTATCTATCTATCTATCTATCTATCTATCTATCTATCTATCTATCTATCTATCTATCTATCTATCTATCTATCTATCTATCTATCTATCTATCTATCTATCTATCTATCTATCTATCTATCTATCTATCTATCTATCTATCTATCTATCTATCTATCTATCTATCTATCTATCTATCTATCTATCTATCTATCTATCTATCTATCTATCTATCTATCTATCTATCTATCTATCTATCTATCTATCTATCTATCTATCTATCTATCTATCTATCTATCTATCTATCTATCTATCTATCTATCTATCTATCTATCTATCTATCTATCTATCTATCTATCTATCTACCTACCTACCTACCTACCTACCTACCTACCTATCTATGTATCTATGTATCCATCTATTCATCTATCCAGTTAACCATCTATCTATTTATTCATTTGATCATTCATTCATTTAACTATCCATCATTTTATCAATGTATTTATCTATGTAAATAGATTTGTTATTGTTGTTAGCTTATATAGTTTTTTTTAACTATTCAAGAATTTGATAATTACTAGTCTTATCTATTTCCTATTAATAATGAACATGGTAATGATAATTAAAAGTAATTATGGATTGTAGATTAATATCAGTTGAAGAATTATCATCAACCAGATTAAGCGTTCGCTCACGAGACTGAAGGCCCTGAGTTCGAATCCTTCGAAGCGGGATCGTGGATGAGTACTGATGAGGAGTCCCACATAATAGGACGAAACATTTGTTCATTGCTCTCAGGTTTTCAATGGTGCTTTAACATCAATCAGTTCATAATCTCAATCAAAAACTTAATAATCTTCACAAGCCTATACTGATAATTACTATGTGTTCATTAATGACTAGCTTCTTGAGGTAATTCTCGGAGTTTTAATGAGAAGCCATGACTGGTGGAGCTAAACCAGAAAACATCAGATATCTGTTTCGTTTTAGTTTGAAAAGCTCGAGATCTGACTCGATTTTGATTGTAGGATGATTGTTATCGAAATATACATTGAGGCTATTTATGTATGTAATGATCGATTTAAATCGTGTTGGTGAATGACGAGATTAACTAAGTTCAATACAAGAATCGATTTTTGAATATGTGTGTTTTATATAATTGTTGATCCAGACAAATGATCGAAGAAATAAAGCGAAGAGAAGACTTACTTACTTACTTACTTACTTACTTACTTACTTACTTACTTACTTACTTACTTACTTACTTACTTACTTACTTACTTACTTACTTATTTACGCCTGTTATTCCCAATGGAGCATAGGCCGCAGACCAGCATTCTCCATCCCATTCTGTCTTGGGCCTTCTTTTCTAGTTCCATCCAATTCTTGTTCATTTTTCTCATGTCTATCTCCATTTCCCGGCGTAATGTGTTCTTTGGTCTCTCTCTTTTCCTTTGGCCTTGAGGATTCCATGTGAGGGCTTGTCTTATGACGCAGTTGGGTGCTTTCCTCAATGCGTTTCCTATCCACTTCCAGCGCTTCTTGCTGATTTCTTCCTCCGCTGGAATCTGGTTTGTTCTCTCACACAATAGGTTGTTGCTAATAGTGTCCGGCCAACGGAACCGAAGTATTTTGCGTAGACAACTGTTAATAAACACCTGTATTTTCTGGATGATGACTTTCGTAGTTCTCCAGGTTTCTGCCCCATATGGTAGAACTATCTTGACATTTGTATTGAAAATCCTGACCTTGGTGTTGGTTGACAGTTGCTTTGAGTTCCAGATGTTCCTCAATTGTAAATATGCTGCTCTTGCTTTGCCGATCCGCGCCTTCACATCTGCATCAGATCCACCCCGTTCATCAATGATGCTGCCCAAATACGTAAAGGTTTTTACATCTTCCAAATCTTCTCCGTCAATTGTGATTGGATTGGTGCATGCTGTGTTGTATCGGAGAATCTTGTTTTTCCCTTTGTGTATGTTGAGACCTACTGCTGCTGAGTCTGTTGCTACACCGGTCGTTTTCTCCTGCATTTGTTGTTGCGTTTGCGAAGAGAAGAGAGCGAAGCGAAATGACATGCGATGAAGAAGGCATGTAAGCTAACTCCATTTAATTAAATGGGAATGGATATATATATTCAGATAAAAAGAAGTTACAGACATGTGATGAATGAGATAAGAAGTAAACACATATCAGTCAGTCAGTAACAACGTAGAACTTCGTACGTAAACACATATACGCTCATATAAAAACATTCAAGGTTGATAAACGAATAATTAACAAGGTAACAATGTGACTCAAGAAGAATGAATAAAATGATCTTTCCAGAGGCATAAATGACCTATGTGGGTTTGATATATAGTACCAGCCCTTTTGTAGTATAGCACCCCTCATCAATATCCTTCCAAGACTATACATAAGACTGAACCCCCCCTAAAAGGTTCTGTTCATGCAATGAGTGCAATGCCTTCAAACTGTCAAATAATATCACAAGTCAACTGAAGCTAGACCACCATAGAAAACCTGGAAGCACTGAATAGCCGTTTCGTCCTAGTATTGAACTGGTGATCAGTGCATATTCACGATCCTACAACAAAAGGATTCAAACCCAAGATATATCAGTCTCGCACGCAAACACTCAATCTCCAGATCACTGGTGTTAGTGTCTAATTTTAACCAGTTCACAATATAGCACCACTATCCACCCTTATCTTCAGTGAGTGGGATCGTGGATTCATACTGCAGAGGAGTCTCATACTAAAACGAAAGACTGTCTAGTACTTTCAGGTTTTCCATGATAGTCTAGCTTTAATCGACTCATGAATTCAACTATTAAATTACTACAATCATCACAAACCCCCAGTTTTTTTTAAAAATTTCTACTACTATTATTTTCATCAAGTAGTTTTCAATAATTTATTCCTATTATCTATACGAATCACCATTATTGTTAATTTCTATGCATTAATTAAGTTCTTTTTCAATGGTTAAGGTCATGAGTCAGTTGAAGCAAGACCATCATGGAGAACCTGAAAGAACTGGATGGCCGTTTCGTTATCGTGGGACTCCTCAGCAGTAGTCTGGCGGTCTAGTGGTTAAGTGCTCGTGTGCGAAACCAGTAGGTCCTGGGTTCGAATCTCGTAGGCGGCGAGGTCGTGGATGCGCACTGCTGAGGAGTCCCACAATGAGACGAAACGGCCGTCCAGTACTTCCAGGTTTTCCATGGTGGTCTACCTTCAACTGACTCATGATCTTAACCATCGAAATTACTATAATATCCATAAAACCCATCTGATATTAAATTCTTTTTGTTAATTGTTCAGCTATTCAATACATGTGCAATAGATTATACACAATATCAGCTCTTATCAGTCTGTCATTCATCCAATTTAAAACGTTGATTAACGATTATATAATTTATAAAGTAATTCATCATGAAAGCTGATCCATCATACATAGATCTTCTTTCACCTTGTCCTATTTATCCTAATCCAATGTTAGCATTTAGTTCAAATATACAAAATTCAGGAAATTTATTTTCATCAGATATTTATAAAGATTTAAAACCAATTAGTTGTAATGGAGTTACCATGACAACAATAACAACACCATCACCACCACAACCCCCACTACCATCCCTAACAACAACAACAACAAATTGTACATCAGTACTTGGTGAAATAACAACATCATCAACATATACATCATGTTTTCCTAATGCCTACTATTCATCTTCTAATTCCTCTTTAATCTCATCAGTAGAGATATCGGCAACACCGGTAACATTCAATAATGATACATCATCAATAATTATGATAAAAATTTTTTATTTATTAGAAACTATATGTCGATCGAAACATTTAATATACGAAGAAAAATTAAAAATTCTTATGAATATAGCAGAATATGTAATAAAATTTTATGAATATTTAACAAATTCAAGTATCAATGATCCAGTTTCAGTAAGTTTCATTGTTGTATTGTTTGTTTGAATCTTTGCATTATTGTTTAAGATTACGATTGGTCAGTCTTTTATTGATAAATGTGTATCCTGTACAGATTGCCTCGATATTGTTAGTGGATGGCCTATGCTCCTCCACGAGGATAGCGGTTAACAATAATCGAATCCAGGGCGCACGAAACTTCTTTCTATCTAGAGCTCATCAGCCGGATGTACCTATATTTCAGAGTTGATGTTCACTTCGAGACTTAAACCCAATACCGTTCAGTTCAAATACCATCCCGTTATCCACTGACCTACTGAGTCCTGATAGCCACTTGTTTGTGCAATGGGGTGAAGTCTAAACTCACTTGGTATTCTTTACTTGGATCTTTCCATTTTGGTTTAGGAGTGAAATTGATCAGTCTCTTGTTGGCGTAAATGTATCCTGTGTGAATTGTCTCGACATTGCCTTAGCTCACAAGCATCCTAAGCAAAGATGAATAGTCGCTAGCAGTAGAATTCAGATTGACAGGCGAAACTTCTTCCTATTTGGGACTTGTCAGTTGAATGTACCTGTATCCCAGAGTTGATGTTCACTCCGGGACTCGAACCCAATACTGTTAGCTTCATTATATGTTACTATTCTCCCAACAGCTCGTATTATTGAATCATTTTTATAAGCAAAGAATATCCATATGTTTTTAACAACAAAAAAAAGAAACAATTCTACTGTGAATGAATTTTCTCAACGCCAATTAGATCGGCTGATGATGTTATCAACGGGCACACGACTTTCGTGACCTTAAATATGACTCCAATCATAATATATGATGATTTGTTATCAAAATATACATCCCAGTTATCCTCGTATATAATCATCGACTTAAATCATATTAGAGAATGACAGAATTAAACAAGTCAAATAATAGAATGAAGTTTGAATACGTATGTTTCATATACTCATTCATCTGGATAGACAATCAGGAAAATGAAGCGAAACGTAAAGGGTGAATCGAAACAGATCGGAGAAGGCATGTAAGCCAACTCCATTTAACCAAGAGTGAATTGATATTTATAGTCAAGCAAAAACAAGTTACAGACACATAATGAATAGGATAAGTAATTAACATATACGATCATATAACGAAATAGTCAAGATTCATAAGTGAACAAGTGATAGGGTAAAAACATGGCTTGAGAAGAATGAATAGATTGGTCTATGTAGAGGCTAGAATAATCTCATATAACTTCATATGTGAATTTCCATCATTTATCGTTCATATTCTATATGATTCTTCCAATTCACAATTTTTTTCTATTTCCTTTTCTATTCGCTTTAACTCGATCTTCTTAACCTTCTGCTGCCAGGTTTTCCACTTCTGCTTGGTGTTGCATACTACTTATGTCTGTCGATATAAGTAGCGTACACCACACTCATCCCCCTTTTAAACGGTAGCTCTTACGACTGTTCTGCACGATGTGCCACCTTTTCTGCTGTCTGTGCCACTTCCCATGTCGAAATGTCGAATTCGCTGACCTCCATAGCAATGTCGACCTACCGGGTCATCTAAATACAATGTCCCTCGAGCAGATGTACGTTTCTCCCCCCTCTCTCCATCGACAACAACCGCTACAACCAACACCAACCCACCAGAACACTCTACTCGATGTCAGTTCCTCCGCAACAAATGGCGCCTTCTCTTGACCACAATGCTAGTTAGTTAGTAACAAAAATAACTCGGAGTACACCATAGTCTTGTCGGTACTCCACTGTAATTATTCGATGTTTTTTGTAAAACTAATAGTAAGTCTTCTATACCTCATAGACGGGCTAAAATAGTTGCATTTTAAATATAATTTTGAATCACCTGATATTTACACATATCAGAATCACTGATTTAATCCAATGATTTCATTGATCTGTATGTCATCATATTTTACCTAATCAACTTACACACACTAAATTTACAATTTTCTTTGTAGCAGGATCATGAAACTCCACTGAATCTGACACAACCAAAACTATTGAATAAAGAGACAAATATCAATGTATCTCCTTCGTTTACATCATCTCAATCATCATCATCCTCCTCCTCATCATCATCTTCGTCCATCCTTTATCATTTCAATCAACAGAATTCCCCTGATCAATCAATGAAACCTGATAAACGATCAATTTCATTATCAACACCAAATAATAATACTTCAACTAATTTAGTAATTCCAATACCACAGCCTATACCTTGGTTACAAAAATCAGATCAATTATCAAATGGATCAAATAGTACTTCAAATAATAATAATAATAATAGTAATGTGACATTTCCTGAAACGAATTTAACTTCATCATTGAATTGGTTATCAACATTATCAGATGGTAAAGAATTACCGAAATGGTTATTAGAACAGATTACACCAACTACTGAAAAGGTAGGTATATAGGGAAAGTTAATCACTATACTCTATAAGTATATCATTTTTCCATTAATATCTATATCAATACTATTTGTCAGAAGGGGGTTTTGTGGAGATCTTCATAATTTAATAGTTGAATTCATGAGTCAATTAAATCGAGATCATCATAAAAAACTTGCAAGTACTGGATAGTCGTTTCGTCTTAGTATGGGACTTCTCAGCGGTGGGCGTTTACGACCTCATTCATGGGACTCGAACCCAGGACCTGTTAGTCTTGAACGCAAACTCTTAACCCCTAAACCATTGAGATGATATTCGATGGTGTCTAATTTCAACTAATTTACTTATTGGTCACGCCATCTAGATACCTTGCTGAATTATACTGTCAACAGATATCTTTCACTGATTATCCTTACACTCAACAGTGCACATCCATGATTTCGCTCATGGGATTTGAAACCGTCCGTTCAGTACTTTCCAGGTTTTCAATGATGATCTAGCTTAACTTGTCTCATTTATTCAACTACTAAAAATTATCAGTGTCATTCTATTGAGAAGCCATGACCAGTGGAGTTAATCCGTGTCAAGTAGAGATAGGTATCCACCTCAGTACAGTGGAAGATGGTCGCGCAATTTCACGGATTGGTTGAGGTTGGATATTAACACCTTTGGATGTGGGCGAGCTCAGTAGTCTAGAGGATAAGCATTCACACCCGAAACCGAAGGCCCTTGTTTGGAATCCCGCGAGCAAGATCGTGGATGAGCACTTCTGACGAGTCCCACAATAGTACGAAACGTCTGTCCAGTGCTTCCAGGTTTTCAATGATAGTCTAACATCAATCGGTTCATGATGTCAATCAAAAATATTAAAAACTTATTACAATCTCCACAAACACCACCCACCCACCCACCTTCATCTCAATTTATTTTTAATTTACCCTAGTTACTTGAATTGTATTAAATATAATTATTATCTGTGACCACGGACCACGGGTGAACTCGAGGAAGCTGTGGGAGGCTCAATGGAGCCGAAGATATTCCATCCAATCACCTTTCAGAAGAATATTCTAGAATTCCAACGTGTGGCCTCCTGATTAGTCAGTGCTAATAACCTTATGTACACGGATTGGTGGACTGTAATGATGATTTCGTTCTTACTAAAAACTATAAATACTTGACAATTTTGTACTATAATGAACACTGTTGGAATAATGTTCTTTTCGTTAGTCTTCTGTCTTCTTCTTGCAACTTGGAAGGGTTTTAGGTGTTCTAGTGCTCTGTTATATGCGGTATTTCAAGGAACCAGCCTTTAAGATATAACATTATCTATCTCTATTATCTCCTTTAATTTATCCTATAGATGAATATCAATTCAATTTCACAATCAAATAATGTAATTACTGAAACAATGTTAAATTATTTAAAATTTTATTATTCAAGACTTTCAACAAATGACAATCCATATGATCACCATGATCATCATCATGATCTTTATCATGATCATAATCATCAGCATTTATCCCAACAACAAATTCAATCACAAATGGAACATATCATTCAAATGAAAAAATTACTAAAATTATCTAATCATGAATATACTACTGATAATCAACTACTAATAAATAATAATAATAATAATATTGATTTTATTGATAAAACATCTACTATACAAAAATCAATTAATCAATTACATGAAATAATTGATCAAACCAAATTTAAATTTAATAAAGAATCAATAATGCCGACAACAGTAACCATGCAAACATCATTATCAGAATATAATTAATTAATCATATTTCATTTAATGGATCAATAGTTAATAAGAATGATAATCATAATAATAACAATCATTCAATGTCATTTGTAAATGTTTCTCTTCCATCTTCAATGTATTTGTCACCATCGTCATCATCATCATCATCATCATCATCAGCAGCAGCAGCGGCAGCAACCGTATTAGGACTTTCATCGTCTTTGGAATATCCTTATTCACATCAAGTTAATACAATCAATCATTCTTTTGATAATAATAATAACAATAATAATAGTATTCTATCATTCAATCAAAAATTAAATTCTATTTCCGAAACCAATAATGATACTAATAATCAATTCGGTTTTTCATTACAATCGATTTATCATACTAATGATACTAATGGTTATAATATTGATTTATTTAGTAATAATAATAATCATAGTAATACTATTAATAGTATTAATAATAACCCAGCAACTACCATTGTCATGGATACCAAGTTGTCAATTACACAAACACCAATACTAATCTATCATCATTGATTACTACTACTACTAATAATAATAATTCAATATTAAATGAGAACAATTCTAATTTATCACTATCTAATGGAATAACATATAATCAATCAATATTTTATAATCCTACCATCAATACTACTAATAATGATAATGATAGTAGTAGTAGTAGTGCTACTACTACAAGTACTACTATTACTACTACTAGTAGTAGTGGTAGAAATCCAAAATATAATGATCCATATACATATACATTAACACAGAATTCAAATGATTTAACTAAACAACATATTACATCATCCTTATCAAAACTTACACCTTTCAATTTAATCAATAAATTAGATCCTATAAATGTAAATTTACATTTAATCAATACTATGATCCCATCAAATGATCCTAATCATCATCATCAGCAGCATCATCATGATCATGATCATGGAATCAATCAAAATACGACTACTAATGATGAAGATGATATCAGTAGTCATAGTAATAATAGTAGTATAAGTGAAAATGATATCATTTCTAATAAATCATCTCTATCTATTAATTATGATGATAATAATAATAATATAGAAATGATTAAATATGAAAAAAATAATCAATATCCAATTAATCAATATCATCATTATATGAATCAATCAATAAAAAGAAAGAAAAAGTTAAATTATTCTAATCAAAATGATGAAATGATAGAAGAGAATGAATTAAATTATGAAATTTATCAAAAAACTCAATCGATTCAACCATATCAAGTAGGTAATATATTGCTAGTGTTATATATAGAGATTGATACAAAGAAGACAAAGGAGCAGGACTGTGGATGCGCACTGCTGACGAGTCCCACACAATCGGACGAAACGGCTGTTCAGTGCTTCCACATTTTCAATAGTGGTCTAACATCAATCGATTCATGATCTCAATCAAAAAACTTAACAATCTCCACAACCACTATACTGGTAATTACCGTGTGGTCATTAGTGACTAGTTTCGTGAGAAAATTCTCGGAGTTTCTAGTGAGAAGCCGTGACCAGTGTAGCTAATCCGTGTCGGGTAGAAACAAGTGTCTACCTCAGTAAAATGGAAGATGGTCGAGCAATTTTGTGGACTGGTTGGGGTTAGACATTAACACCATTGGATGCCGGCTCAGTGGTTCAGTAAGCTAAGCGTTCGCGCGCGGGTTTCCATCTCGTGAGCGGGATTGTGGATGCGCACTGCTGAGGAGTCCCACGATAGGACGAAACAGCCGTCCAGTGCTTCCAGGTTTCCAAGGTTGGTCTAACACTAATCGGTTCATGATCTCAATCAAAAAAATTAAATTTGTATTTGATCTGGGATACTGCCCAAGTGTTTAAACTAAAGTAGATAGTTTACTAAAAGGAGTATCCTATGAGACTTGATTTGGAGATCGAATCGATAAACGTCATGGAGATATGTCAAGAAATTCAGTTTAACAATAGTCAATGATTACAATAGATTGATATGTTATTCGATCCTTTCAAGATTTTGAAGTCTATATGTATCATTGGTTAAAAATCAAGGTTTTCTTAATTCACCCCTCCCCCCCCTAAGTGAATTCTCTGTATACATTAAGTTGGTGAAAGCTCAGAACTTTCAGTTTTTGTCTTATTTTTTTTGTTTGTAAATAATACCTTAGCTGTGAGAATGTAATGAGTGGAATTTCCCTGACAGTTACTATATATACGTGAGAATATGAGAGAATTTTGAAAAGGAGCAGACTCTTCACAATTTCAGTCACTCACAACAGTGAAAAGTACTGTCTTATCTTCCTTAATATACAATTTAGGTAACATTATGTAAACCTGACTATGTACAAATGAAAATATTTTTTTCCTGAATTCTTTGAACATTTTGACAATTTGATACTGAATAGTCTTCCAATTTGAACGCTATATTCGTTTCCTAGGCTATTCTGTAACCCCCAAGCTAGAACTATACAGCGATTTGAACAACGAGAGAGAAGACGCAAAGTATGCGAAAAGTACTTTACCCTAAGGTTCATTTTAACACAGAAAATATAGGGTTTTTATAATATTTTTAAACGTCCTTGGGTTGCTCGAAGATTCTGGAGTGCTACTAAACATAGTAGCAGTGTAGCAATAAGCTAATCAGAACCTCTACATGTGACGTTTCGCTTCCTTGATATTTCTGGCTAGAACATCAAGTGAACGCTGATTAGATGAAACGCTTCTTAGTGTTTCCTGATCCTTGCTTGTCTTTGGCAAGAAATTTTCTGGATCACTCCAACAGATACCCAAAAGTCACTCACAGTCTGAAAATAAAAGGTTGGTTCAATCAATATTTGTTTACTGAAGTTAGTCAATATCTTTTTGGATATATGCATCTTGAGATGACTGACCTAAGGAAGTTTTCACAATATTTAGACTTTAAACTCAGTACGTCTTGTTTTCAAAAACACCCAACGCTTTATTCACTGAGTTGTTTGGAATCAGTAGTCAATAAATTTAGACATCTACATCCTATGTGAATTGTTTTGATATTACCTTAAGTCATGAATAATCGCTAGTAGTGGAATCCAGTTTAACGCGCGTTTCGTCCTTCAGTTGGATGTGCTTGAATCACAGAATTGATGTTCATTCTAGATCTAGAAGCTCACTAAACTATTCATAGAACCTATTACGTTTCATGATTTATTACCCTTATTTCTTTCACTAACGAAGAATAGTAGTATAGTTTACTGGATTATCACTAATTGAAAATAAGTTAATATGTAAACGGTGAAAATAACATTTAATTAATCAATGATCAAAGTATGAATCCAAAATCTGTCTGCCATAATAATCACAATTGAGAACTCTGAATATAGAGTAACTTCATTGTTCAGCATATTGCCACTCTCATAGTTGCTTAATTGTTGTCAGTTTATGTTGAGTATCACCATTAGGGGTCAATCAGTATCTATAACTATGTTGAATATAATTAACATACTTTGAGATGATAGAGAAGATTTGTAGTACAGGCGGATGATTTTGATAAAGTTTTGTTCTCTAAACTGGATAGTTTGGTCGTGGAGCTTTCATCGTTCTTCTGAACGACGTCATCAGCTGAGGATGAAAGCTCCACGATCAAACAATTTAGCTTGGAGAAAAAACTCCATCAAACTAATTAACATCTATTCTGAAGGTAAAGACCAGTGACACCCAAGGTTGCTTACTCTCACCCTTACTCTTTCTCCTGCTGATCGACCGGATCATGAAGACGTCAACATCTGATGGGAACCATGGGATACAGTGGACATATAGGATGCAGCTGGACAATCTAGACCTCGCAGATGACCCGTCTCTTCTATCGCACATGCAACAACAAATGCAGAAGACGACTGTTGTAGCAGCAGCCTCAGCAGCAGTAGGTCTCAGCATACAAAAAGGGAAAAGCGAAATTCTCCGATACAACACAGCATACAACAATCGAATCACACTTGACAGAGAAGATTTGGAAGATGTAAAGACCCCTACATAACTGGGCAGCATCGTTGATGAATACGGTGGGTCTGATACACATGTGAAGGCGCGGATCGGCATAGCAAGAGCAGCATATCTAAAACTGAAGAACATCTGAAAATCAAAACAACTGTAAACCAACATCAAAGTCACAATTTTCAATACTAATATCAAGACAGTTCTACCATATGGGGCGGAAACTTGAAGAACTACAAAAGCCATCATGCAGAACATACAAGTATTTATTAACAGCTGTCTACACAAAATAATTCGGATTTGTTTGCCAGACACTACACTATCAGCAACAACCTATTGTGTGAGGTAACAAACCAGATTGCTGTGCGGAGGAAGAAATGAGGAAGAAGCGTTGGAAGTGGATAGGACACAGATTGAGGAAATCACCCAACTGCGTCAATAGACAAGCTCCCACATGGAATCCTCAAGGCCAAAGTAGGTGAAGAGGAAGACCAAAGAACACATTACGTCGAGAAATGGAGACATACATACTGAAAATGAACCGCAATTGGATAGAACTAGAAAGAATGCCTAGGATATATTGGGTCAGAGAATGTTGGTCGGTGGCTTATTCTCCATTGGGTGTAACAATCGTAAATGAGTAAGTAAGTAAGTAAGTACTGAAGGGCAAAGTTTATCTAACTTGATATTGGTATCTTCTTCATTCTATGTAATAATATTGAGTGTATCACTTTATTTCAGACACAAATGAAATCACAACGTACAATTAAATCAAATCCTGATCAACATAATGATAAATCATCTTCTCATATTAAACGACCAATGAATGCTTTCATGATATGGGCAAGAGATGAAAGAAGAAAAATTTTAAAAGTAAGTATGCTTATTATCTAGAAATAATGGTAAGACTATAATCTATAAACAAACCAATCAGACTGAAGATAACACATCTTGGATTTTGGCGCGAAATTCATTCATTCAGTTGGTTAAATATCATTTTGGCATTTTATCTGATGTCAGTTCGTAATGAAAACAATAAATCCTTTTAAATGGTGGTTAGAGGTAGTCGACAGGGTTTCCTGTCAACAAGGTTTCCTGTTGACTACCACTAACCATCATCTTATCTCAATATACAGTTCACGTAGTGTCGAATCACCTAGACTGGTGGCCACATTGTAACTTGGTCGATAGCATTCGATCTGCACTAAAGAAGGACTTGACACACATGACATTGATCACCACCCAGTGATCAATCAATTATGATAAATCCTATTCCCTATCCTTACCATCAATTGTAAATTCTGATCCTAATTTCTCTCACTAATCTATAACACTCATTTAACCTTGATTAGTAGGCGGACATTCCAACGTAATTTTAGCATTGCTCAAGGTCATTCATAAATTATATTCTCTTACCGTATTCATATCGAATAGTAAAATAATTTAGCATGTATTCCAACAGTTAGATACCATCATCAATCTAATTTAGAACACTTTGAAGCTGGTTTGTTGTGTTATGATAGGGTGAACCAGAAACTATCTGTTAGGTATAAATTAAATGACTTAGCTTAGGTTATTAGTGTACTGAAATCAATTCCTTTATGTAGCCTAAATGTTGGATGAGTCCATTTTAAATAACTTCTAAGGTTCCTTTTAAATAATCAAGATAAAGTTATGAATTCACAAGTTCCATAGATCTAAATCAGATCCATACATGTAAGTGAAGTCTGATTGATGAATGACACTTTACTTGCAGAAATCAGAATAATTGGATAACCAGGCGAGTCCTACTCAATGCCTTCTCGTACCAGACGTGTTGCTTACGAAATTGAGAGGACGAATAGCGAATGTTCGACGCTTTAATCAGGTTGGTGGATATGGAGGATCCACCTAGAATAGTTGGAAAACCCTAATTCCAAACTAATGATGCACATGGTCCCCACGATCCTGAGGAAAAAAATGGCGTATCAACCAATTGTTTGTTACCCACTACCATGGAACTGAATCCCTTGACGTTGCTCCACTGCCTTGTGGATTAGATCTTTAGGTCAAAGGCTCTGGGTGTGTTCCCTTAAGGAAATCACCTGCCTCTATTTGGGCACCCGGACAGTATACCAGTCATATCTAGTTGGTGCCTCTTTGTACCAATGTTTATGTGTTTAAATAAATAAATTGGATAATCAATAATAATTTACAAGACATATCATAACTTTTGAAATATTAAGCACGATATTTAATAGCTAAATTCATTAGTCAATTAAAGCTATACCACTATGGAAAACCTGGAAGCATTGAGCAGTTGTTTCGTCCTAATATAGGATTCCTCAGCAGTGTGTATCCACGATCCCGTACCAAACGGATTCCATACCCAAAATTTTCAGTCTCATATGCGAACACTTAACCTTTAGACCAATAAGTCGACCACAATCCAACAATTTTAATATCTCTCATTTCAACCAAATCATGATATCATTGTGAATTACATCAAATCTATATTGTATATACCTCGATTCAACCCCCCTTTTTTTTCTTACACTGTTTAGTACATGTTTGATTGGAGCACAAATTAAAACTTGACATAAAGTTGTATTCATATTTCTTTTTGACATTACTGTTAAAATGAATGAATCAAAGAGATAATATCAGTAATAAGCAATTGTCAATCAAATTATACAACAAATATGATCAAGTGTAAACATTCTAAGTATAAGCTTTTTGAGGTGAGGTGAGGTGGGTGGAGGTGAGGTGGGTGGAGGTGAGGTGAGGTGAGGTGAGGTGGGGGGAGGGGACGTGAGGTGGGAGAGGGGAGAGGAGGGAAGGGAAGGATCAAAATGTATTTGACATTTTGTTTCATAGTAATTCTATATACATATATGTCATTAATAAGTACATTCGTAGTAGTTATAGTAAGTTTTATTTTGGTTTATGATTTTCATGTATAAATGACACAATGTGTGACACAATGAATAGGTAACCTTTTTTTTTACATAACTGATGATATCAAACAAAAGATGGTTACATTTGATGTGGGTTACTTATATCTACACAAGTAGTATATAACGGTGGTCAGGCATAGAATGTACTTCAATAGAAGGTCGGTGATGGAAGAACCGGAACGGAACGCAATTAGTATGAAAACGTATGAACAATGAAATCTGAAATAATGGAATGATGTTTGCAACAGGAACAGTCAAGTTTGATATGATGGATTGATATTTTGCAAATTACTATGGTTCTCAGATTTTAGTGAGATTCTCTGTGATGATGAACTCAATTACATTTGAATGTCCCCACTGATGTTCTGTTCACTACAACATTACTATTGAATATGAAGTGACCATTAGAATAGTATGGTATATCGCCTGTATGTATACAAAAAATGAGACCGTAATCAAGAGAAGTTGCTTTCAGTTACCAAGGTAATTTACAAAGTTATTATCTATTTATTTGAACATATAAATATTGGTACAAAGATGCACTGATTACATCTGCAACACAAAGTCACTTGATTTGTGTGTGTGTGTAGGGGGCTGTGATACTGCCCGGATGCCCAAACCGAAGCATCTACTTTTCTTAGGGGGTCACACTTGGACCCTTTGATCTATAGGTCTTATCCAGGAGGCAGTGGAGCAAAGTTAGGAGATGCAGTCCTATGGTAACCAGTGACCAACAATTGGTTCATACGCTATTTATTCTCTCAGGATCCTTGAGACCATGTGCACCATTTATTTGCAATCAGAGTCTTCCAACTTCCCTAGGTGGACCCTCTGTGTCCACTCGATCATAGGTGTCTTCGAAGCAGTGTTCGTATATCCTGGGATCACTGAGTATTGATAAGTCATATTAATTTGAAAACTTTATTTGGTTCCTAAGCTATTCTGGTAACCCGCAAGCTAGAACCACGCAGCGACCTGACTCGAGAGGAAAGGCGCAAAATAAGCGAAAAACACTTTACTCCAAAGGTTTATTTTTGTACAGAAAAACACGGGTATTTATAGATGTTAACAGTTGTTAAATCAACATCATATTTTGACCAATCCGCTAAAAGACTTATTATGCTACTGACCAACAGTAGCACGCCAAGTTGACATTCTAGAAAGCTCCACCATGTTCTGATTAGCTAGGGCTCTTCGTCTTCTTTAGGGCCTCTGGAGGCTCCGTCGCAGTTCTCGGAAAGCCGACTCAACAAGTATGTAATCCAGGTGTTAGGAAACGGGTACTCGCTAAGAATGGCAAATCACTTGATGAAGTAGTAAAACTTCAACAGTTCGGATGACTAAGACATGTGTTCCGTATGCCCAATCACTGACTGCTTCGACGAGCGATGTTTTATGCTGTAAGAGTAGGTTAGAAGAAAGCTGCCGAGGAGTCCCACAATAGAACAAAACAGCCGTCCAATTCTTCCAGGTTTCCAACGTTGATCTAACATCAATCGATTCATGATCTCAATCAAAAACTAAAACTTTTAATTGTCTTTATTTTCTTCTTTCATTTCTATCTCTTCTTCTTCTTAGGCTTATTTCTAACAATTTCTCCTTTCTTTTTTGTGATATTCTATGAACAGTCGTTAGAACAGCTGATTAATTATGAATTCGATATAATCACAACAACAACAATGTGGGGGGGTTTGTTTGTTTTCTTCTTCTTCTTCTTCCTCCTCTTCTTTATGTTCTTCTCATGTTATACCCAAATTGACTTGATAAACAATCATCATTAGAATAAACATACACATTTCTATGTTGTATACCATTTACAACAACAGTACCATTTTCCTTTATTTTTTTTGTTTTGTTTTCTTCCTCTTTTTTCTTTTCTTTGAAATTGACATATACCATACGATGTGTACTAAATGTAAACTAAGGTTATCAGTTTCTATTGTGTTTGATTACATGTTATTTATAAATAAAAACAAAATGTGTTTGTTTGTTTGTTAGTCTGTTTGTGTGTGTGTGTGTGTTTATTTGTGCGTGTGTGTGTGTGTTTGTTTATTTTTTGTGTATTTTGTTTGTTTTGTTTTTCTCGTCAAATAAAAGAAAAAATATATATCCTTAATGGTTACATAGTTGTTTCATCTAGTTCTGTTGTTTACCAAAAAAAAGGAAGAGAAAAACAGCGAGAGAGAGAGGGGGGCGAAAAGAGAGAAAAAAAGAAGAAAAGAAAAAACTCGACGGGATTATATTACACATAAAAAAAATAATAAAATAAACAGCATGAATCAGTTGTAATAAATAATCATAATAAAATAAATGAACAATAGGTCACCGATTATGTAGTTAACCTTCATGGAATTATGTATAAACTTATCCTTCTTCATCATCATCATCATCATGATCACCATCCTCCTCATCAACACCGTCTTCTTCTTCTTCTCCTTCTTTTTCTTGTGTCTATTAAGTTTGACCTTTACATAGATTATTTTTTCCTATTTTCGTATTTTGTTTTGATTTTCTCTATTCAATTATGTACTAATGATAATAAACAGGCTACCAAGAGAGCAAGAGTGAAGAGGTAGGGTGGAGGAGGAAAGATGGATTATTATTATTATTATTATTATTTTGATTAATTGAGGTGAAAGTATTTAGTTAGTTTCATAGTTGTCTCCCTTTAAAAACAAACAAACAAACAATGTCATGGAATAATTATAATGTAATGGACAGTTGTTTTATTTTTTTGTACTTTTGTACCCCCTTGTGTATATACTCTTAAACTATATTTTTTTAAATGATAAATAAACCAAATTACTAATCTATATCACAGTTATGAATAATGTTTCAATTCAAGATACCTTAGTTACTTACTCCTGTTACTCCTTGTGGAAAAGTATAGACCGCCTATTAGCAATCTCTATCGAATTTTGTCCTGAGCAATCCTTTCCAGTTCTTTCCAGTTGTTATTCATCTTTTTCATTTCGGCTTCCAATTGCCGATGTAGTGTGTTCTTTAATCTTCCTCTTTTCCGTTTCGGTTCAGGATTCCAAGATAGCACTTGCTTTGTGATGGAGTTTGATCATTTTCGTAATGTATATCTTATCCATTTCCAACGTCTTTTCTAATTTCCTCCTCAGATGTAAGCTGGTTTGCCCTTGCCCACAGTAGGGGCTGTTGCGGATGGTTTCCAGCCTGCGGATATTGAGTATCTTGTGTGGACAACTGTTTGTGAATACTTATACCTTCTTGTTGATGGTGGTGGTAGTTCTTCATGTTTCTGCTTTATATAGTAGAACTATCTTGATGCTTGTTTTGAGGATTCTTACTTTGATATTTGTTGACAGTTGTTTTGAATTCTATATGTTCTTCAATTGTAGGAACGCGCCGTTACTTTGCCAATCCTCTCCTTTTAGTCAGCATCCGATCCTCTTTGTTCATTGATGATGCTTCCCAGGTACGTGAAGGACTCCACATCTGCTAGGGTTTCGCTATCAAGTGTGATTTGCTGGGCGTTCTCTGTTTTGTATTTGGAGATCTTGCTATTTCCTTTGCGTATGTTGAGGCCTACTGATGCAGAAGCCGCAGCTACTCTAGTTGTCTTCATCTACATTTTTTCGCGTGTATGGGATAGGAGGGCCAGTTGATCTGCGAAGTTTGATTGATTCTGAGCTGTCCATTGTAGTCCGTGCTTTCCCTTCAGATGTCTAGGTTTTCATAATCTAGTCAACTACCAAAAAAAAGCGAAAGTGGGAGAGTAGACAGCCTTATCTGACTCCTGTCTTTGCTTGGAATGCATCTGTCAACTGACATATCACTAAATACTCCATCAAACAAGGTTTCAGTCTAGAAATCATTTTCATCTGAATAAAAAATTTCAAACAACGAGTTAATTTAAAACTACTGTGACTGCTAGTTGACGTAACTGTTTGTGAAACTAATTCACTTCAACGGTTGTATCGTTCATCACCTTGACAAGTTACTTACGTACTTACTTATGCCTGTGACCCCGAATGAAGCATAAGCCGCTGACCAGTAATCTCCAAACCATTCTGTCCTGGGTTTTCCTTTCTAGTTCATGACAGTTACATTTGTCATTTAGTGACTGAAAAATTTTGTATCCATTCACTTCCATAGTTTTGTTTAATTGACAAGTGGTAAGATTTTGGTTACTTCTAATCAAGCAACTGAGATATACTACTCACAGGTATTGTACTTTATCATTATAAAAGTCCTTTCTCTTTATTTTAAACAGGCATGCCCTGATATGCATAATAGTAGTATATCTAAATTTCTCGGAGCCAAATGGAAATCTATGAGTGCTGAAGTGAAACAACCATATTATGAAGAACAAGCTCGATTAAGTCGTCAACATATGGAAGAACATCCAGCTTATCGTTATAGACCACGTCCAAAGCGTACATGTATTGTTGATGGTCGAAAATTACGTATATCTGAATATAAAGAATTAATGCGTTCAAGAGGTGATTCATCACGTAGACAATGGATTGGTTCAACAGATGAACAAGCTCAAAAAATTGTAGAAGATATTTTAGGTAAGTGTATTTTTTTGAGTTAATACCATACACATGAGGACAACCGATTACATCTAGTACATGATTACAGAGTTACTTGATAAACCATACTCCCAAACTTCACTTGTAAAATGTTCATTCATTGTCTCAGACTTCGTTGTGTCTGCATTTTCATACCAATCATTCTTTGTTCCCATCCTTTCCTCCTCGATCTTCTCAACCTTCTACTAACGGGCATTCTATTACTGATTTGTGTTATATACTACTTATATTGATATAAGTAGTATACATCACACCATTACTAGAAATCGCAAAAACCTTCAAATTACTTAATTGTTTAAACATAACTTTATGATTGTTGTTTACACATATAACAGTTTAAAGTTTTATTTAAAGTGTATTATAATTAATTACACTAATAATTACCATATGCTCAAGAGTGACTAGCTTCGTGAGGGAATTCTCGAAGTTCTAGTGAGAGGCCGTAATCAGTGGAGCGAATCCGTGTCAAGTAGAAACAGGTATCTACCTCAGTACAATGGAAAATGATCGCGCAATTTCGTGGATTAGTTGAAGTTAGACATTAATACCATTGGATTACGGCCGACTCAGTTGTCTAGAGGTTAAGCGTTCGGACGTGAAACCGAAGGTTCTGAGTTGGATGTGCACTGGTGAGGAGTCACACAACAACTGATGTCTAGTGCTTTCAGAATTTCAGTGATAGTCTAACATCAGTCGGTTCATGATCTCAATCAAAAAGTATTACGTTTGTTTTAACACATTTACATAACGTCTTTTATTCCCAATGAAATGTAATAATCAACATTGTATTCCATTTAGAAGTCATCGTTTGATTGTTTTTATTTCTCATTATAAATCTATGTTTGATAATATGGTAACAAATAAAATCAAACGACCTACTAAGAGTTGAGAATAAACATCTATCATCCTCTATTGTCAAATACATAGTTGAAACCGGTCATAAAATGGGGCTTCTGTGATGTTGTGCACAAGAGCAAAATGAAATATACTAAAGTTTATTGAAACCTTAGCCATACGAAAATGTGAACCCCCTTTGTGTATTCGTTGATTGATTGAAGCTAGACATTAAAACTGTTGGATGCCAGCTGGCTCACTGGTTTACAGGTTAAGCATTCGCTCATAAGACCGAAAAGTTTGAGTTCGAATCCTGCGTGCAGGATCGTGGATGAACACTGTTGAGGAGTTCTAAACTAAGACGAAACAGCTATCCAGCACTTTTAGGTTTCCAACTGTGGTCTAGCTTAGATCAACCCATGAATTCAACTATTAAATATCGTTTCTTCAAATTATTTTGAATTATCTACAAACAGTATTTAAAGAAATATTCTATTAACCACAACTATTCTCGTTAATAAATATAAAATGAATGATCCTCTTAAGCAAAGATAGATAGTGGCTAGCAGTGAAATCCAGTTTGAGGCGCGTTTCGTCCTATTTGTGACTCGTCAGCCGGATGTACCTGCATCCCACAGTTGATAGTCACTCCTGAACTCCAACCAAGTACCGTTCGCTTCAAACGCCATCGTGTTATCCACTTAACTACTGAGTCCTGATAACCAACTGCTTGTGCTGACAAGTCCGAAATAGGATAAAACGCGCCACAAACTGAATTCCACTCCTAGTCATTATCCATCTTTGCTTTAAAACCTTATGACTTAAGACTATATCGAAACAATCCACATATATGCCAACATGAGACTGATCAATTCCAATCCTAAATAACAATGGGAAGATATCAGTAAAACAACACCAAGTGAATGATTCTCTTGGCTTGATTTTTATCTTTCTACCATTTCCCATTCCATTCTCTCTTTCTTTCTTTCTATCAAACTCTCTCTCTCTCTCTCTTCTTTCAACTGTCTTTCTCTTAATCAGATAAACAAAAGCCTAATCATTACTGTAATTCATTAAAGTACACTACAGTTTCTTCAACATCTTCGTTTATTATTAATATGATAATGATTATTATTGTTATTGTACTATTTGTTGTTTATGGTAATTGTGTGAAAAATAATGATCAAGAGTTTGTTTATTTATTTGTATGTTAGTATTATCTTCAACTTTTCATTATTTCGTTTATCTTAACTATAATGGGATTGTTTCTAAGAGGGTGGAGAAGATTTGTATATATACACACAAATATATATATATATATATATACATGTCTTTGCCTAACAATAAGTGTATATATGATAAGGTGCACCATTGTAAAACCTTTGAAGTCTTTCATACTTAGTCATATTTAATTGAATCCATGATGTAATATAAGCAAACTTACCGTAAATTCAGGATATAAAGGTGGGGGGAGGGAGGAGGTAAATGATTATTAAAGGTAAAACTAGGCTAACTATTTTTGTTTTCTAAATGTAAACGTCTATACAAATGGTATAGTTACAATGTTGTTTCACACTTTCTTTCTTTTTTTTTTTTTGAATATTTTTATTCTTAAATGTTGATCTCTAATCAATGAAATAATAAAGGAAATTATCTTATGTTGATAGGGGTAGTAACAATAGTATACCAGCTATAATCATAATCATAATAATAATAGTAATAATAGTAATGGTAATGGTAATGGTAATTGTGTGTTTATATTATGTAACTAACATACAATTTTATTGAAATTATAAAAACCAACCTTTTTTTCTATCATATCCATCTAATGTAATCAACTGAAATATGGTATATCATCTAGTTGTTTATTTAAAAAGAATAAGATCAAATGTTCCGCTTCGTTCTTTTTTGTGTGTGTTATTGTTGAAAATTCAGTATATCAGTAGTATTTTAAACAAAGGCCATGAGTGTGTATGTGTGTGTGTGTAAATGTAAATGGATTAGTATTTGGATATGTAACTCTTATAGGATGAGTTGTTAGTGCATGAATATGTATCAATCTGGGATATGTATAGGGAAAAAAAATAGGAATAGCAGGTTTTATAATGTAGTACACTTGACTATAATAATGTTAATTTGACCATTATATTGAAAAAAGATCATTATTGTATGTACCTCTTACCTGCCCCCCCCCGATTATGTATATGTATTTTTTTTATTATTATTATATCTAATCGGTTCATTTAGTTCAATTGAATGTAAACATTAGCACTCAATGATATATTCATCTTTAGTTACATATACATAGATACAATTACCATTATACATGTATATATACATGATATAGATAAATGAAGGATTATTTATATGCTCAAGTTTAATAGATTGTACAGAGTATTCTCATTGGAAACTCACTTTTAAGCATGACTCAGTTTGTCTTTCAAAGATTCTGGAGCATTTCAAATTATAGAGAAATAAGTAACCATCAGTATAAGTCCTGGGTTTGAATCCTGTGAACGGGATCGTGGATGAGCACTGCTGAGGAGTCCCACACAATAGAACGTCACATCCATCCAGTGTTTCCAGGGTTTTCAATGGAGATGTAATATCATCAATCGGTTCATGGTTTCAATCAAATAAGTAATTCAATGATTTAAGCTTAAACTCTTTGTATTAAAGAGATATGTCAAATCTCCCATTATAACATAGTTTTAACATCCTTCCTATTTATTCTGATTAATCATCAGTTATTACTATTGTTCAGTCATACATTAGAGAATAGAAGAGAGGATTAGTTTCAACATCTCAGAGCCTACTCCAAAAAAGCTCAGACTAAAATGACAGGAGTGCAATTGCATACCATGACCACTTGACAGTGGTCATTTATTTCATGTTTTAAGGATCATATAATTTTTTTGATTAAGATCATGAATCAATTGATGTTAGACTATCACTGAAATCCTGGAAGCACTGGAAGCCGTTTCGTCCTATTGTGGGCCTCCTTACTAGTGTATATCTACGATCCGGCTCGTGAGATTTGAACCCAGGACCTTCGGTTGCGGAGTTTGTTGAATGTCATTCAAATCATGAACTGGTTAAAGGTAAACCAACAATGAAAACCTGGAAGCACTGAACGAACGTTTCATCCTATTGTGGGACTCCTCAGCAGTGCGCGTCTATGATCCCGCTTTCGGGATTCGAACCCAGAACTTTGTCGCGCGTGCGAATGCTTAATCTTTAGACCACTGAGCCGGCCAGACTCCAACGGTGTTAATGTCCAATCTCGACCAATCCACAAAATTGCGCTGGACTGAAGGCCCTGTGTTCGAATCCCGAGAGAGAGATCGTGGATGCGCACTGCTCAGGAGTCCCACACAATAGGGCGAGACATCCATCCAGTGTTTCCAGGGTTTTCAATGGAGGTGTAATATCATCAATCGATTCATAATCTCAATCAAAAACTTAATAATCACCATAACCCTATACTGACTTCTAGTTATTACCTCTTTAAGTATAATAGCATCATGTTTCCACTCTCTTGATGACTTGATTCCATTTAGATGAATTGTTTAATGAATAATGATAAATACCTAGTAGAAAACAAGAATTATTCTTGATAAAGATGCAGTTCTTTTTTTTTTTCCTTCTCATACATTCAATAACAGAATAGTCGTATGAATCTTGTTTAAACATTCTAACTATGAAATATGATAGATTGTATTATGCCATTCATCATCAATAGATTCCTGTACCAATCAAAGTAATAGATAGATAAGACAATATTTTAACGTAAACAATCTTCAACTAATATCGATTAGCAGTATAGTTTTAATGACAAAATTGATGTCATAAAGAACCGTATCATTCTCTTCTTTTTTGTCATATTTTATTCTATTGTATACATAAAAGAATTCAGGTAGATGGTTATTAGTATAGGGTTTGTGGAGATTATTAATTTCTTTTAATTGAGATCGTGAACCGATTGATGTTAGACCACCTTTGGAAACCTGGAAGCACTGGACGGCCGTTTCGTCCTATTGTCAAACTCTTCAGCAGAGCGCATCCACGATCCTGCTCGCGGGATTCGAACCCAGGGCCTTCGACTTCGCGCACGAACGCCTAACCTACTGGACCACCGAACCGGCATCCAATTATTATTATTATTATTATTATTATTATTATTATTATTATTTATACATATAAACATTGGTACAATGAAGCACCAAAGAAATATGCACCATATAAGTCGTTCGATTTGTATGAGGGCTGGGATACTGCCCGAGTGCCCAAACAGAATCAGGTTGTTTTCTTAGGGGGGCAATCCCCAAACGTTTGACGTACAGGTATAATTCACAAGATAGTGTACCAACGTCAGGAGATTCAGTCTCACTGTAGTCAGTCACCAACGATTGGTTCATATGCCATTTGTTGCTTTAGGATCCTGTATCTTATGTGCATCATTGGTTTTGAATCAGGGTTTCCCAACTTCTCTAGATGAATCATCCATATCCACCAACTTGGTTAAATCGCCAAACATTCGCTTTTTGTCCTCTCAATTTTGTAAACGACACCCTCAACGCGAGAAAGTAGTGAATAGGACTTCCCTGTCAGTGATTGTATGTAGGTGGCCATGTGAGAGCATTTAGAGAGGGAGAGTGGACTCTTCCCACTGTCGGTCGTACCAACACATTTTGAGGGGGAGGGGAGAATTAAATTTTAAACCAATCCAAATAGGTTGTTGAAACAATGTTCCATATATTATAAAGTAGACTAAGGTATTTCAGCATAGATATGATAAGGAGAGACTTTATTATGTTGGAAATTAAATTCTAAAAAAAATGTATCCAATATGAAATCAATATTTGGGTAATATTTTATTGCCTGTCATTTCATACTGTTTACAGTACAAACATATATTGATTTATTTTTATAACTGTGACCAGTTAACTACAAAATGAACACTTAAATAATGTGAATGATTGATTATGTAATGATCATATGGATCTTCCTATTAATGTTTAAGACTACAATTGATCATTCTCTTATTGGTATATATATAAATCTCGAAGTGAACATCAACTGTGAAATACAGATACATTCAGCTGACGAGTCTCAAATAGGACGAAATGTTACACTTCCTGGATCCCACTACTAGCCATTATCCACTTTTGATTAGAATGCTTTACTTTGTACTCTTAATGTTCTGCAGTAGTAGCAGTAATAATAATAACGATATGAAGAACCTTACATTAAGTGAAAACGAAAATTGAATAAATAATATTCATAAAACATGTATTACCTATGTCTCTCTCTCTGTGTTTGTGTGTTTGTGTGTGTGTGCATGTATGCGTTAATCTCTGTGTGGTAATTTAGTTTAATGAGGAATAGGTGCATTCTGTGATATATTTTTGTTGTTGTTGTTGTTTCTTCACCGATTAGAATGAGATTCTGTTTCTATCTGTCTTTATCGTTCTCCTTCTCTCTCTCTTTCTCTCACGCAGACACACACACACACACTTTCTCGCTCTGTTTTGTCTTTTGTTTCAAAATTTAACAAACCGATTAGAACTGACACTTAAACAACTTTTGTTTCTTCAATTTTTTTCTCGCTATTATTCTCTTTTTTCTCCCCCTCCTCCTCCTCCTCTTCTTGTTCTTGTTCTTGTTCTTCTTCGTTCTCGTTTGCCTTCAGTCTGTATTATTCTCTTTTTTTTTGTTATATATTTTTCAATTCTATTTCAACATTGGAATGATGTGAAGTAAAGGGTTTACTAAACATACCATATAATACAAGTTAATTATTCCGTACATTACATGATAACCAAGTATATATGTATAAATAGTTTTTTTTTCTCTTACATATATATACTACTCATAATCCTAAGCTTATGTTTCTATGGTTAATGGGGTAATATGTAATGATGTATACAAGAGAAAAACAAAAAAAATAGAGAGAAAAAACAGAGTGAATACAAAGTTATAGATGATTTTGACATCGGCATCTAAAACAACAGTGGTGGCAAGTAATAAACGATTTAATGATGATGATGATGATGATGATGATGATGATTACTATTATTATTATTATTATTATCATCATCTCTACATCAATTCCTTTCAACCTTTGTTCACAACAATCATCACAAGTAAAATTTAAACACATACACCAACACACATACACGCACATATACACAGCAGGGTAACTTAGTAATACATTTCAATTTAGTCTTGTCATTTCACCACCTATTTACACAATATCATTCAGTTGTTCAATTCTTTCAGTCTATTTTGTTTTTCATATTGTTGCTTCTTTTCTTCTTTTTTCTCCTCTTTTTTTTTTCTTCTTGTTCTTACAACTTCACTTCTTTTGTTACTAAACATTGTCTTGTTTCTTTTCTTCATTGTTAGTTAACTGTTGTATGTATATGAGGATAATAATTATGATTTTGTTGTTGTTGTTGTTAACAGTAGTATAATGAAAATATATTTAATTTTCTTTTCTTTTTTGTTTTTTGTTTTAACCAATTTACTTGTTGTTACATTTTCATTTACCTTTTCCTATCTTCTATAATCCATTTCAAACTATTAAAATATTATAGTTGATTAACACATTGAAAAGTTAAATAATAATAATAATAGTAATCCTTGTTCTTTCAGTTACCCTTTTCTTCTAGTTACTATGTCTATTACACTTGGTGCGTGTGTGTGTGTGTGCTTGTTGTGTGCGTGTATATAGATGTGTGTATGCACACTTGTGTGTATGTTCTTCGTCTACTTTTTGGTTTTACTTTACTCTTCATAGTAATAATATGCTTTGTGTTGAGAGACTGAGAGAGTGTGTGTGTGTGTGAGAGAGAGAGAGGGAGAGGGTGTGTGTGTGTACATTAGTGAATAGTTTAAGTTTTTTACTAACAACAAACGCCAAACATGATGTTGTAAAATATTAAAGATTACAACCTATCAATGTTAGAAAATATACAACAACAATGGAAAGAACTATTTTATGCAAATATTGATATCATTAATAACAATGGTGTTAATGCCACCAAGAGATTACAACATAAATTGTCAAAATACTAATAATAATCATCATAATAATGATTGAAACAAAATAACAGATTATCATCATTACAACGGTGTAGTTTGTATTTCTCTCAGTTCTTTAAATGAATACATGTTCGTACATGGATGTATGTGTGTGTGTGTGTGTGAGGGTGTCTATAAACATGTAATGTTCATATGTTATATGTACAATGATAGACTATTATATATTTCTAGGGTTACATTTCATTGAAGTTAAACTGAAGATGAAACATGAAAAGAGGAAACAAAAGACTTTAATTACTGTTACTATTCATAATAATCTATGGGCAATTTCATACAAACTGTACATGTAAATGAAACTATGAAAAAAACAAAACAACTAACATATAAACTATTGAAACATTGAGAAGAAGAAAAAGAACTATTGAATGAATGGAATCCTTAATAATCAGTAGTGTAAAGTTCTCTTTCTTTGTTCTTGTTGTTGTTGTTGTTGTTGTTGTTGTTGGTGGTGGTGGGTGGTTAAAATGTCCTAGAAGATACCCTTTCCTTTATCTTTACAATCGATAAGCCCTTAGATATAACATGATAATCGATGAGCACATAGATAGCAATAAGCAAATACATTGTGAGTACAAAATTGTAGAGTTATTTAATAAAATATGAATACTATACGTTTTATACTTCATTTGAAATAATGTTCATCAATTGTCTGAGACTCGATTGTTCCTCCATTTCCACAGTAATCATTCTCTATTCCTATTCTCTTGTATTCGATCTTCTTAACCATCTGCTGATAGGCATTTCATTTCTGATTGGTGTTGTATACTACTTATATATGTCGATGTGAGTAGCATATAACACAGTTGTATCTGTTAAACTACTATATGAACACATTAAATGGTATAAACACTAATGAGCTTTCCTTTCAGAAAAATAATTTAATATACTAACTTAAGTACCACGAAAAAAGTAAGAATGATTATTGCTATTACAGTAGAAACGTTTATAAAATGTTCATTATTTAACATAAGCATGTAATGTCAGTGACTACGTTAAGTCCATATACTTTATCGTAGCTACTGGCCAGACTAATTAATCTATTCTTCTTGAGTCATATTTTCACCTTGTTAATTATTTGATTATCAATCTTGACTGTTTTTAAGTGAGCGTAAGTTGTGTGCCCTTCCTATCCCATTCATCACATATCTATAACTTATTTTTATATGGTTATTACTTGATTACTTACTTACGCCTGTTACTCCCAGTGAAGGATAGACCACCGACCAGCATTCTCCAGCCCACTCAAACTGTACTGGGCTTTCCTTCATAGTTCTATCAACTTATTGTTCATTCTTCTCATATCTGTCTCCATTTCTCGGCATAATTTGTTCTTCGAGATAGTAGAGAAGATTTGTAGCTCAGGTGGATGGTTTTTATGGAGTTTCATTCTCTGAGCTGGATGGTTGATTGTGGAGCTTTCATTGATGAAAACAACTCCATCAACGTAATGTTCTTCCTCTTCTCTTTGCTCTTGAGAATTCCAAGTGATGGTTTGCTTTGTGACACAGTTAGGTGCTTTCCTCAATATGTGTCCTATCCACTTCCAACGCTTCTTCCTGATTCCTTCCTCCATTGGAATCTGGTTTATTCTCTTTCACAGTAGGTTATTGCTGATAGTGTAGTATATGACCAGCGGATCCGAGGATAAATGACATTTATATTTTCATAACATTCACATGATCTTATTGGAGTCAGATAAAGACTCCATAAAATAAACACACCTTTTTTTTCATGATACGAATTTAAACTACTTATTTAACGATTATTTAGTAGTATTATGTCGACTTTAAAAAATTAAACCCAATAAAAACTGTTTCAACATTATTAAACATATTTACATATTGTTTTTAAATTATAGATAATACACTTTCATCTATACCACAATTAAGTCCATCATTAAGTCCAATGAATGAATATGATAAAGAGTTATTATCTTCTAATAAAAATGATAATATCAATCAAAATATACCAATGATCTATTCAGAACAATCTATCATGAAGAAAAATGAACAAACTAGGCCAGAACGAAGAAGAAGAAGAAGAAGAAGAAGAAGAGAAAGAAGAAGAAAAACAACAACAAAAGATTAAAAAAGAAAATGATTCAATACAAACGAAACGAATATTCAATGATAGAACGGATCATGTGACTATAACAGAAAACAAAGAAGAAAGAGAAAACGAAAAAGAAAATAAAGAAAAAGGAAAACAACAACAACAGGGAGAAATCGAAATAGAAGAATCAATCAAAACTTGCAAAATTGAATTGGACACTGATAAAGATGATAATCATATGTGCCTTAGTAATACATCAAATTCATGATCTCATCAATTGATTCATCAATACAGTCCCTGAAATCTTGCAAAATATATTGAATAACCTTCTTTTTTTTTCTTCTTCTTCTGAATACAAGATGATACTACTTATTATTATTAAAAATAAAAATTGATTTTTTTCGTTTCTCTCTTCTAAACATAAACTTTCGATGAGATTCTCATTTATGAACGAACCAATCAGAGTGGAGAGAATAGGCCTTCAAATTTTCGGCGCGAAATTCATTGGTTCATTTAGATAAAACAGAGTTTTGATATGATAGCTGATATATTATAGTTCATGATCAAAAACATTAACTATTAACTATAAATCATGATCTTTATTCTTTATAACAAATTTATAATCCTCGTTTGATTCTAGTGTGTTTAGGTGAGGTGAACATTATCAAGGTCAGTCTAATGTCATTTAAAGAGCATTTATAAATTATAATCTCATTTAAATTTCTTCAAAATGATTATGTAATCATTTGATTAGAATGTATCATTGTTTCTATAGTAACATTCTATTTCACCCTTTCTCTCTCTCTCTCTCTCTCTCTCTATATATATATATATATATATATATATATATATATATATATATATATATATATATATGATGGATTGAATTGTTTTAAATCATAATTTCAAGAAAAGTTGATTTGTTTTTCTTTTCTTGTAATAAAAAAGCGTCCTTTTTTGTGTGAACTAGACAATCAAACTACCAATTGATTCAACAATTTAATAATGTTTTTCAATGTTGTACATAGTTTTGTATAGTTCAAGTTATATACGTATAATGAATAGGAAAATATTGTTGTAAATTGACATACTATTACTGATTAAATATTGACTTATGAAATTTTAACTACTTATTAAATTTATAGTAATATAAATATATAAACAAAATTTTGTTTAATCATTGAATTGGTTAAGATATTCAATCTTATCATTATAATTGGTTTCTTTTCTTGCATTTACATTTTATATTTCTGTTTATGTATCTATATCTATATGCTTTTACATTTTTACCCAATGAAACGTATATAAATGTATATATATACATATATATTGTGGTGTTTGAATGAAATAATGATTCCTTTGTACTTGTTGAATGCTTGATTTCGAATTCTAAATACAGTATATTCTTTCGCGGTTATCTAGTACTTCTTGATCCGATTACGTTATTTCTGGGATTCTTAGTTCATACTATAATTCAAATACTCCTAATCATCATAATATATATATATATCCATCCATAATATCATATTTGTTTATAAGACTGTTCTGTATTGATATGGGTTGCTTCAATGACAATTATGATTATGATTGACACCTTGAAAGAGTTGAATTCTTATGTAGCTTTAGTGAATGAGAACACACAAGTGGGAATAATCGAATGTATTTGAATATAAAATTATAGAATTACTTAGTAAAATCTGAAAAGCATGCAGTAAATGCTTCATTTTGCAAAATGTCTAATAATTGACTCAGACTTCGTTGTTTCTTCATTTCCATACCAATTGCTTTCTGTTCTTGTTCTTTCTTTCTCGATCTTCTGCTGCTAGACAGACTATTCCTGATTAAGGTGTAGTGTCGAGTTGAGTCGAGATTGACTATGAACACCACTACAGCAAGACTACGTGCCAGTTAACCGATAAAATCCCCAGTAAGCCAAATATCACGAGGCAGTTGGTGGCTGTAGTCGAAATGTATTTGTTGGCGATCTCGTGGTATCGAAAGAACACCGGGATCGTGCCAAAGGAGTACAATCATGGCTACTGAGTGCGACCGAATCCGTGCAAGGTCACAATCTTGCTAAAAATACGATAACCAGAAGATACGATTTAAACCATTTAAAATTCGCTCTGAGAGTTGAAGGGTCTTCATTCAGAACAATTATGACTCCGAATGAGGAAAGTTAAGATTCTTCGAGAGTTACGAGGCTGGTGTTCATTCTAGGAATCAGTGCAACAATTAATATAGGTAAATGGAATGTCCGGATAATTTGAGAGACTGGGAGAACCGAACAAACAAGTGTGGAAATAAGGAGATACAACTTGCGGTGTTCTTAACAAATAAAACTTATTGGGTCTAAGCTGAATAGGAAAAGGTAAATTCGGGAAAGACACCAACGTACTCTGTTGATGATGAAAAAGTTGCTACACACGCACAAAGAGTTCCATTGATGCCATCTAAAGGAGCACAAAAAGCACCTGTAGGATGGGAATTTAATGGATTCAGGACCATCAAAGAATTCTTCAAAACAAAGAAGGAGGGCATTACAATGAATATTATTCAAAGTTACCACCCACCAGTGAAAGCAACGAAGATGATAATAATCAGTTTTATGAGGAGGCAAAGTCGGTCGTACAGAAGTGCATGGGGAAGGGCCTGACGATCCTGATGGAAGGTTTAAAAGTCAAAGTCAAAATGGACAACAACGGTTATAAAGATATTACTGGACGACATGTACTGCGTCTGATTATAGAAAAAAACAGAAGATATGACAGAATGAATTCGGTCAGCATTCCACGTATCACATTAAGTAAACTTCGACTAAAACGTCCTACCCGAGCACGACGTTGAAACCTCTTTAGTGAAAGGTTCTAAGTGGAAACTTTGATTTTATTTTAGAGTAGGCCATAAATATTGACGTGAGTTCAATCAACATCATATCATAACATCAACATTACACTTTACGAGGAGATTCATGACAAATCACTAAAAAAAGAGCTTACATATAAGGACGATAAAGGTAAATCCCACCTCGAACGACCTTTCATCCAACGTGACCACGATTCCTTCAGTGGATAGATTTAAGGGTGGATTCAACAACACGTGTTTTATGAACTGGAACTGTTGTGTTGGCGTGATTTACGGTCATCAAAATTTCACTTTCCAGGTACAACAAAATATTATTTTTCATACCAAGAACCTATCTTGGGTCTAATGTTCGATAGGTTATTCTTCTTTTGAGTTTTATTTGGATTAATGTTGAACTAAGGTTTTGCCTCAGATTACCATGCAGTGTTCGCAGCTTTTCACAATGAAACCCTATTTTTAGTACTTCTTGAGCGTGAAAGACATCAGTTTTTGTTCATATTGGTTACTTTTCTTCCCAATTGTAAACTTTCCATCCTATTTCTACATACAATTTTACTAGCAGGTTTTACTTAACCGTGATCACCAAAAACACATGTAAGCGGCCAATCTCCCGACTTTCTATTAACTACAGTATGCAATGTGGGAAAGTCAAAGTGTGCATAATGAAAAAAGCATATATCTCACTACAACTACTTGAAACAGAATCATTAATCCAGATTGAAATTGGTCGGGTGGAAAATGTGATACAAATGTTGACGAGATTTTGAGTAATGTCACTAATTCTCCGGCAAGAATATGCAAAAGCTGTCAATCACCTTGAAGGAAACAGTCTCAAAATGGATAACTAACCGGAAATGCGCCAGGAGGTAAAACGAGGACCACCTTTGCACAAGTATTGGTGGACCAGGGGTTAGCATCAATAAGTGTATGTTGAAATCAGCACTGCCATAACATCAAGAATCGCATATTCTCTCTGCGAAATGATGTCTCTAAGCCTCTCCAAACGTAAATGTGGTCTCCAAAGTTGGCCATGGCAGGGGACTGGGCTCCTGTGAACGGAGCTAAAAGAACAAAAGATCGTTATCCGAAGTGTTCAACGGTTCATTTCTCTTAAAAACTTAGTTAATACACTGGAAGTGGAATCTGCTCTCAAGGTTGACAAACCGTTTAATAAAAGTGTAGGATATCTGAACTAAAGTCCAACTTTCCGAATAAAATACATCTCAACACTGGCGTACCTAAAAAAATTGAGCAACTGATCAAGGTTCGTGACGATTCCATAGCAGTCATGAGTCTAAAATACTTCTCCGACTCCTCACTCATTCTGCAGTACAATAACGACAGGGAGCTTTAACATGTGCCAGATAAAATGCTTAAACTTCTCAAAACTGAACCATAAACGGTCATGCCAGCTACTCGAGAGAAGCGTATCAAGATTTTATAACGTCCACTAATGCTAGTGACACAGAGGATATTTTTCTGACCAGTCATTTATTGGAACCTGAGAGTAATCTGCGGATGTAGTCAGATAAACCATATTTAGAGCTCATTTCAGTCAAGAGTATCCTAAAGAAGTCTAGCAAAAGAAACATCATGGTGCTAGTTATGCCAGAATACACGGACTTAGAGTATGAAGTCTATGATATCCAAAGGCGGAGGTTTAATAAGGCAGCTTCTGAAGTTTAAAGATATATTTTCTCAATAAGTAGTAAAACTGTCCAAGAAGAACGGGGGTACTAGAACCAGACTAATAAAGATAATCTTCACTCCTTCCAGAAAGGTTGAAAAATTCAGTTTTAATTCAATGTGACAATTACTCAGTATAGCGTTTGTTTTCTTTCCAAAGCACGACATCTTATTCTGTATAACGTACGATATTCTTGTCTTAAGTTAACATGAACTATACTCAGCATATGATTTGTTACAACTAAGCATTTTTCATATGTGTGATTTATTCTAATTATTAGTCAAACATGGGTGTATGAATCATTTTACAAATGAGTGTATTTCCGATTAGACTCGTCGTGGTTGTTCGTACTTCTGGGTGCTTGTGGAATATATTTCCCTCTTCCGAACTTGGATTTATCTCTCTAGTTAGCGGAGGTGGGACGCGTCTGAGTAGCTAGCTTATCTGTTGTTGTGTTGGGGCCGATATATCTCCAAACTCATATTTTGTAATTTTATCATATCAATTAAATTATCGATTAAATGTTCAAATATTTGAATGGCAGTCAGTTGATGAACTTATCGATTAAATTTTTAAATAGCAGACAACTGATGACTCATTGATCATTGTTTAAAAATTTCCTATGACAAAATCGATATATATTTGTATAAATACGCTTGACTTGTATGCTTGGTCTGATCTGCCTGACCTGACTTGGTATGTGCTGTTGCTTGTAGAATAAACTTTCTACGCCTTACCAAGACTTCTTGATCGAGTTAGCTGAGTCGAAGACAACGGACCAGAATAGTCTATTGAGTCTTTGAATCCTGAGCCTTCGTTCCGTTCTGAATAAGTCGAATCAGTAGTATCCTCAAGGTTAACGAACCTAACATGTTGTGTCACAGGGTCTTCGTCACGTTATCAGATTAGGTGAACTCTTAATCTGTTTAAACACAGCAGTGATATACTAGAACCCATATGAATCCCGACGGGCTACACCATGTAGACTGTCAAGGGTGAAACTGCATGGAAAGGCCTTGAGCCAACCATTCCGAAAAACCTGTCTAGGTAGGTTCCTGATCCACTCATTAAATGGTCACTGGGAAAACAGATCAAGGACACGCACGCGTTTAAAATCAAAAGCATCAGGTGTTTATATATTGGCTCTTCCAATTTATGGAACAAAGTGGATGAGTTTTATGAACTATGTGGTGTAAATAATACTCTTTTGATAATGATATCCTGAAAATGGTAACCTCAAATCACGTACAAAGCACCAATAGTA